AACAAAGATGTTGTGTCTGACGAAAACTAAAAAATAAATATTAAAAAAATTCTCTCTCTCTCTCTCTCTCTCTTTAAAAAAAAAATATACTACTGGTGTTCAATTTTCTGTGTGGTATTTTAAGTGAATGTTTTTGGGAAATATATGTTGAAATATTTAGGAGTAAAGGGCATATGTCTGTAACACTTCCAAATTGTTTTGCAATAATGAGGAAAGGAGAAAGAATAGGGAGGAAAAAATAAAGTAAATGTAGCAAAATATTAACAATTGCTGAATCTAGATGAAAGATATTTGAGAGTTCCTTATAAAATTCTCTCACCTATTTTTAAAAAAATATTTATTTATTTATTTATTTAGGTGTAGTTAGACACAATACCTTTATTTATTTATTTTTTTATATGGTGTTGAGGATTGAACCCAGGGCCTCACACGTGCTAGGTGAGCGCTCTACCACCGAGCCACAACCCTAGCCCCTTTCACCTGTTTTCTAAGTTTGAAATTGCTTTTTAAAAGTAAGGAATAACAACAAAAAAATTTTGGAGAATGGGTGCCACTGATCTGGCAAAAAAAAAACTGCAGATACAACAGCAGGACATTTCCCCCAACCCCAGTACAGGGACTTAAACCCAAGAGTGCTCTACCACTGAGCTATACCCCCAGCCCTTTTTATTTTGAGACAGGGTTTCCCTAAATTGCCTAGGCTGGCCTTAAACTTCTGCTTCTCCTGCCTCAGCCTTCCAAAGCTCTGGGATTACAAGTGTGTACCACTGTTCGGGGCAGCAGTGGGGCATTCTTAAGAAATACCCCATTGCCAACACATTCCAAAACTCAGAGAACAACAGTGTGTGGAAAAACACAGGCATCCAGGCCTGAGAAAGAGGTTTGCACTCATTTTCTACTTCTGATGATCACTCTAGTTCTGCTTGCTGTCACTACTGGAGAAGGCTGAGAGACGAGCACACAGCATTGCTCTGTACTGTTTGCAACTTCTGAATCTATAGTTATTTGCAAATATAAAGCTGTTTTGGTTGCTTGTTTTTTGAGATGCGAGCCTTGCTACGTTGCCCAAGCTGGCCTGGAATTCCTGGGTTGAAGGGATCCTCCTGCCTTAGCCTCCTGGGCCATTAGAAATAGGTGTGCAACACCATAACCAGCAACATAAAGCTTTTTTAACAAATAGTTCCAAAGAGCTGGACCCTGCATGTGAAGAAATTTTAGCAATATCTTAATCTATTTATTCTGCTTGTAGTTTCCTCTTTTTTCAATGTATGCATTAAAGCAATACATGAAAAAAAATTATGCCTGAATAGGTCTAAGGATTCATTTGGTATTAAATATAGACCCAAGTGATATAATAGAATGACTTCCTGGTATTCCAACCAACTCATCTTGATGAGTCTTCACAGGTCACGCTTGATAAGGTCCCAGAACACTCCAAAAGTCACAAACCAGACAGGGCTGGTGTCCCAACCCACCTACAGGTGACTGCTCTGCCCTGCCTCTGCCCACTAACAGTGCTCATCGGCAATGTGGAGAGGTCATTCAGTCCTGTCACCACAACATGGAGGCCCTCTTCCAGCATTTTTAGTGTGAGCTGAAGAAAGGGGGCACAAACTGCTCAAATTTCTTTTTCTTACTTTCCCCCCTCCTGCCTATAGCTGTTTCATGAATGTGCTCCTATTTATATGGTAGGTGCTGGAATTTCAGCTCAAACTGGTGTCTTCCTTTGCACTATGCAGCTCCCCAAAGGGTTGATCCTTGGCTTAAAGAATACACTAAGTCATTTAGCAGTAGCATTCAGGCTGGATTTCTGAGTGTGTGAATTCTGTCCAAAAGCTGCAGATGTTTAAGCTATTTCCTCCTGGAGTTTGATGGAATAATAAAAGGTTACTGTTGTCACAGTAAGGAGGTCTGCAGCTGGTCCTATTTCCTTTCATTACTATCCAATGTAAACAGATTAAATCTAACTGCTCGGATCACCAAAAGGGTACATTTTAAAACCAGAGATTCCTGATTTCTTCTTTTTCAGTACCCTTGGTTCCCTTTCATATGTCATTTTTTATCACTGGGAATATCTTGGCAACAAATTGTTCATGCCTCCTTTAAAGTGAATACTGCTTTGTAAGTTTACCCTCTCTTCCCAACAGCCAGGCTTAGCTGCAGTACTGAGCAGGGAGTGACCCTTACCTTGAGGGCCAGCTACCTACTAATTGCAGCAAGGGAATAAATTGGGTCACTCAGGGCAACCAGGAGGGGTTTTCCACACAACCACCTCTGGCTGGTTCTCGGCTGACATCCTGTGGAATCCCTCCCCAACATCCCACAGGTGTCCTGCTCTTTCTGTGCACCCAACTCTAGAAGCCCACAGGCTTTTGAGAAAAGGGAGGTCCTGGGGCTCCACCTAACCTGCCAGACACAAAGACAAGTGCTGGTGAGGCATGGGAGGCTGGGGATGACATATGAGGAGGCATTAGTCACTAGTGTCAACGTTTTATTACTAATGAGGAACAGTCCAGGAATTCCTGATGGACCATCAAGACCAGGAGTTTCCCATTTAGTTTAGTTTTTCTTTTCTTTTCTTTTTTCTTTTTTAAACAGACATAAAACCCCAGGATCAAAAGAAATTTTACCTAGAATTCCACAGTACAATGCGACTAAGACTACAATTCCTCTGGCTACAGACCCAGGTCTCTACTCTCTCCCAATTCCCCACCATTACATGTGACAGGATATCAAGGAATAGAGTTTGAAAACTATTAGCCATCTCTAAAGATAAAGAAAGCAGGAAAGTCTAGAGACAGTAAATAAACTATCTAAGGTCATGGTCAGTTAATGGCAGACCAGGGTCCAGTACCTCCTCTACCACACGGCTCTGCCTTACACCATGTATTTGTCAGATGTCAGAGTTCTGTACCTTAGGATGGGCAGGTCTTAGTCTTACAAAAACTTCAAGCTTTTATAATATGCAAAAAAGTTCCAAGAGACAGAAAAATCTTATTTTACCAGGCAAAACTGATTTCCTAGATAATGGAAAATATAATAATAAGATAATCATAATCCAGCATAATAATATCTAGAGATCACCAGCTAAAAGGAAATCTTCTCACGGCAGCATGAAAAGCATCTGAGTGCTCGCCTGCACAATTCTGAACATGATAATGGCTGCAACTAGTACTGGGAGACACGAGGGCCCTGCAAATGGCACGAGTGCACAAAGCATGTTCTTAGGATACAGGTGGCCAAATGAGGAAGAAGGAGACACCTCCACCCTGAGTCCTGGCTCTCACAATGTGGGAACTGCATTTCTTTAGATAGAAGAATTTTTTTTCCTCCCACGCTAGCCAATCATATGATGGTTTTAAATCAATCATGCCTATTCCCACTTATCTTTGGGATACAGCCTCAAGATATCTCTTCAGTGTTGTTCATTCACTTGTATCTATGAGCTTTCTATTTTCTTTTTAATGAGATATGAAGGTATTTAAAAACAAAGCAAAACAAAAAGAAAAACAACCTTTTGGAAAAAAATTCTAGTTTCTGACTTCTAGATATGACTTCCAGTCTTAGCTCTTCTTTTTCTAAACTATGTGACCTTGGACAAGTCACTAGGCTCTTTGTGCTACAGTTTCTTCACCTATAAAAAAAGAGCTAGGCACTGTGAAGGCAAAATGAAATACGGCCTGTAAAAGATTTTTTAATTACAAAGCACCACAAAAATGTGAGGTGTCCATGTAATCACAATTATTTAATCAGTGAACCAGACACATTTTACTGCTCCATGTATTCCACTTTCTTGGCTCCTGCCAGGACTGCACACCTACCCTCTCCATGCTAGCAACACAGGGCCAGCAGCAAAGCATGTGGCTATGGGTTTCCAAAGCTGGTCAGTCTCCCTTTTGGTGGTGCCTGGAGTAAAACAATATCATAAAGTAATCCTCTAGCAGCCAAGTGTAGAAAATTAAAAAGAAGGATCACTTATCCAGAAAGGAAATGTTCTGATTTATTGCTCTAACTTCTCTTGTCATAAAATGGCAGGGAAACAAAAACACCATTCTGTAGGATGAAGGGAGAGGAAATTTAGAGCTGGACAGAAAAATCAGAAGGAAATTAAAGTTCTAGTGTGCTTAGAAAAGTAACACTCCAAAGGTGCCAGTGGTCACCTTGATATTTCCAGGCCTCCCCAATGGCTTCCAGACCTAAAGTGATCAGCTTACGCTGCATGGAGGCCTCTCTCAGCCCAGGGTGCTGCTAACTATCCCCAGGATCTTTCAGCCTCTCACATCATCACAGTATCACATTAAAGTGCATCAGAAAGGGACGCTGACAAGTTCAGGAGATGATGAATGGGGCAGAGTACAATCGTGCCCTGCCGCATCATCTGATTAAGCTTGTGAGCCTTGCTGAATGCTGGAGGTGAGGTTCTTTGGGAGCAAAGAGCAAGGGTGGGAAGGGCTGCTTTTTCTGTTTTCTGAATACAATTCCAGATAAAGGCCCTCTATAAAGACCACCACTACTATCATCTCTGAATGTGGGTAACAGCCAAAGGATCATACATGAAGCTAGCCAATCCATTCTCAGACAGGAAGACTGAGTAGGTTACACATGGTAACGCAAAGCAGACTTACTTGATCTAACTCTCCCTTCTCGATTGCCAGCTCCTCCATCTCTGGTGCTGACTCATCTTCCAGGAAGGGGTTGGTAGATGGTGGTGGAGACTCGAGCTTTTTCTATTAACAAGACACGAGACAGTTATCTTCTAAACATGTCCAACAGACTTCCCACCAGTCTTCTGCTTTTTCCAAGTCTCCCTGATAGCTATGTTAGGATGGATCACAGTCTTACTTCCAGGCCTTCACGTCTTTTCATCTTCTAGAAACATTACTGTTCACCCTACTCTGATTCTAATCTAGCTAAAATTCTCATTCATCATTCAGTCCTCAACTTAGAAGTCTCCTCTTCTGGGAGACTTTTTCTGTCAAGTTTGGGTTAGATGTCCCTGGCATGTGTTCCCATCCCATCCTGTACATCCTCTCCCCGGGTTATTTATTAAAATACTACAATTGCTCGTTTGTCTTCTGGCACTAGATGCCAACATGGAGAGATCGTATCTGTCTATCCCGCCCATCCTATCTTTGATGTCTGGCATGTAAAAGGTGCTCAAAAAATAAAATTGAATCCAAATGCCAGATGGATTTGAATTCAAGAACAAACTACGAAGTTGGGGCTGGGATTGTGGCTCAGCGGTAGAGCACTCGCCTAGCACAGGTGGGATCCGGGTTCGATCCTCAGCACCACATAAAAATAAAGGCACTGTGTTGTGTCTATCTACACCTAAAAAATAAATATTAAAAAAATTTAATTTTGTCTGTTCTATATTACAAAAAGAAGTCCTTCCCAAATAAGTCCCGTTACAACCACGAGAGAAATCGTCTTCAGAAAAACTATTTTCCAGCTCCTGAACAGGATCACTATTTCAAAATACAACACTTGAGCAGGACCATGGGCTAATGGGAAAGCCGGGGGCAGGAGACATGAGTTTTTGTTCCAATTTTGCTATGTTGGCAAAATCACCTAGCCACAGGAGCTTCCTCTGCTGAATTGAGGACATAGTCACAGGACTGTTTGAAGGATCAAATGTAACAAAGTGTGTGAAACCACATGACATATACAAGGGTCACTGATGATGCTAATTCCAGTGCAACTATAGAATCAAGACAGCTCTTTTGATTTTTTTTTTTTTTTTTTTTTACAATTTTGACCTACAGATGTTGTTTATGCTTAGGTGCTGGGGAGTTTTAGCAGAAAAGAAGCCAAATGGACAATCAGGACAAAAGGGATTGGTTGGCACCAGGGATGAGGTGGTGGGTCAAGGGATGGCATCCTTAAGACAAGAAGCTAAGGGGAGAGGGAGTTTCTGAATGTACTTGTGTCACTTTAACGTATACCAGTGGAGCAAACTGAACTAATTCCTATGCCAAGAGGGACAGCAGACGGATGATGTGGTGATTTACTGTCAAGCTTATAATTATCACCTGAAGGTGATAATTTTTGTTACAAACAAAAAACAAAAACAAGTCTAAACACACACAAAAAGAACTGCATCAGTATTTGCTTTGGGCTTTAAGATAATTCTGCTTACACTCATTTAAATGACTTAGTTGTCAAAAACACTTGGAGATGCTATTATGTACAGAAACAATAGACCTCACATAAGAAGAAAGCCTTGGGCTAGGGTTGTGGCTCAGAAGTAGAGTGCTCACCCAGCATGTTATGAGGCACTGGGTTCCATCCTCAGCACCACATAAAAAAAAATAAAGATACTATGTCCACCAATAACTAAAAAATAAATATTAAAATAAGAAGAAGAAAGCCTTGTGATGACTGCATTAGCTCAAGGTAATCACTAGTAAGACAATAAGTTTTGCAGTATCGTGGTGAGACACAGTATGATCCAACTAAGCAAGTATTTCATGTTTGTATCCTCTGAACTTTGGCTTCTTTACCTGAGATATGGGAGAGGGGGGATCTGCATAAATAAAGTTTACTTTAGAAAGTAATATTTATAAGCTTTAGCTGTCATTTCAAGAACTGGTATTTTAAGGAGAGAGAAATAGAGATAAAGGGAATCTACCATGTCTAAGCTTCAACAATAATAAAGAATTAATTAAGCCAGGCATGATGGCATGCACCTATATAGTCCCTGCTACTTATGAGGCTGAGGCAGGACAGAGCTTCTGACTTAAGCTCAGAAATTGAAGACATGACTGGATAATATAGTAAGACCCATCAAAAAAAATTAAATTAGTTAATAGCATTAAATTCCTGATTTCCTGGCTTAATTTGGGGATCATACTATTGAACTGAGGCACTATAATTCTGAATTTTTTGATGCTCTGTAGATGTGGAAAGACATACTGTTAGCTAAAATTAAAGCTTTGATCAACCATTCAGTGATAGAAACAGAGTTTGAATTCTTGACTGTTCCTCATCTATTGCTAATTCACTAGGGCTGATAACATCTCACAATTATATACAGGTGGGTCGAGGTTTTTTTTTTTCCCCTGAGAATCGAACTGAGGAGTGCTGAGCTACATCCTCAATCTTTTTTTTTTTGGCTGGGGGCATACTGGGATTGAACTCAGGGGCATTTGACCACTGAGCCACATCCCGAGCCCTATTTTGTATTTTATTTAGAGACAGGATCTCACTGAGTTGCTTAGCATCTCTCTTTTGAGGCTGACTTTGAACTTGCAATCCTCCTGTCTCAGCCTCCTGAGCCACTGGGATTACAGGCATATGCCACGGTGCCTGGCATATCCCCAGTCATTTTCATCTTTATTTTTTAAATTTTGAGACAGGGTCTACGTTGCTCAGGTTGGATTCTAAATAATAATCTTCCTGCCTCAGCCTCTCAAGTTGCTGGGATTATAGGTGTGTGCCACTGTGCCCAGCCACGTGGGTCTCAGTTAAAAAACACAATGTGTTACTGAAAATCATGACAAAATTGGAAGTCAGGGAAATAAACTGGGGTGTTCCTGGGCTCTTTTGGTGGAAAGAGTCAAGTGAATGGATAAAAGCAGAAAGGGGCACAACATAAAAAGGCAGCACTGAACAAGCAGAGCAACGTCTTAGATAGTATAAGCACAGACTACTTATCTTTCCTGGGCCAGAGGTTCTCCAAAGCTTCTTTCCTACTTCTACAGCCTGTCTCTATTAATGTAATGATGAATGGAGTGATAAGGGAGTCACAGACACCAGGTGCTCCTGGCCCATTTAGGTCACACACATTCCAAGTGGGGACCAAATCAGTGTAAGAAAAATGCTTTGTTCCTTCATATCATCTCTCAACAAATGAAGTACTGGGTACTTAGGGGAAAGCAATGAGGAAGATAGACCTACTCTGTTCTCATGGAGTTCAGAGTCTGCTGGGAAAAACAGGCTTCAATCAAATACCCACACAATCATGTAGTAAGACCTTTGAAAGAAAAATATAAGTTGTAACTAAAGTATGAAGCAGAGGAGATCACAGGAAATTCCCAAAGGAAATGATATTTGGGCCAGAACTGATGGATGCCCCAGAACTAAATATGTAAGGTGGATTAGAAGAATGGGGTAGGGAAGAGCTTTTTAGGCAGAGGAAATAGCATGTTTGTCATTTGTTCAAAAATCATATGCTGAGCATCTACTCTATTCCAGGCATCCTTCCTTGCACCAGGGATGCAACAGAAGAAAGAAAGGCAAAGAAGCGAGGCACTGTGATGCAAATAAAGTTTAGGAACTAGGATGGGCTGAGAATGAGTATGGGGAAGTCTTCTTTATATAGAGTGATCAAATAAGGCCCCTTTCGGGAAGTAATAGTAGTGCAGAGATGTAAATAAGGAGAAGGAGCTAATCAGACAAAAATTGAGAATGAATATTCCCAGCAGAGGGATCTGGTGCAAAGGCTGGACAGAGCTAGTGAGTCTGAAGGATAGAGGATGACACTGGGCATGAGGTAAGAGAAGTAGCAGGAGCCCAATCATATAGCCTTTAGTCAGCCATCAGGTTTTCTTCTTATTGCAAGTAAGCATTCATTGGGGGTTTTACACAGTGAAATGACAAGATCTCATTTTTTTTTTTTTTTTAAAGTAGACACTGGATCTTGTTCTGTTGCCAGGTTGCCTGGCCTTGAATTCGAAATTGAACTCCTGGGTTCAGATGATCCTCCTTCCTCAGCCTTCCAAGTTGCCGGGACTATAGCTGCATGGTATCATTCCACAGCCATGGAAAGAATGGACCTTACTGGAAGCAAGAAGACCAGTTTGCAAGGCTGCTGCAGTATTCTAGGCATGGGGACTGAGAGGGACTGCAGTAAGCTGGTGATGTGGATAGAGAAAAGTCTCCAGATTCAGAACACAGGAGAGAGTGAGCCAAGAGAAACTGTTGAGAGTGTGGAAGTGAGGGTGAGGGGAGTACAGCAACCAGGGACCATGCACTTTTTGGCCTGAGCCACTGCAAAGCTGGTGCTGCCAATAACTAAGATGGGGAACACTTGTGTAGTGCTGAGGGCACAGATGCTGGACCTGACAATCCTGAGCTCAAGTCCAGGCTACACCACTTGGAAGTACTACTGAACTTTTCAGTACTTTTAAAATTGCCTCAGTTCTCTTCTCTGCAACACAGAGGGACACTGACACCTGGCTCACAGAGCTGTCAGGAGGACTAAATGAGATAATGTACATTAGACATAAGAAAAGCAGTTTAATACACCATCTGGCACACAGGGGAAAGATCATAGGGGGAAGTTGAGTATGTGGAAGTTTTTATTAGCATTTAATAGGCATGAGCAGAAGGGCTAAGCCTCTTAAAGCAGCAACTTGCAGAAGGGAAAAAAGTGAGAGTGCAGGCTGAAAGTCTTATAACTACCACAAGTGTCAGCCTGTCTCCACTGTCTCCCTCCCTGGGATCTCTCCAGGAAGTGAAAGCAACGGGCCTATGAATTCACAAGTGCAAAGGCACAATGGACTGTTCTTTTCCTCTTTAATCTACAAGAAGCCCTCAGTAACTGCAAACACATCACCCTGCTGGTAAATGGTATAACATCTGAGGTGCAGGTATAGCCTCCTGCTATTTGGAGGGCTATGCTACTGCTTAGATTAATTTGCTATGGCAAGAGACCGAGTCTTTGCAGATAGAAACCACTGGCACAACACAGCCTTCTGTGCAAGAGTCCTGTTGTCAGAGCCAA